TTGTTTTCAAGTGACAATTTTTATTTTGAAGGCTATAATTTTTTGCTTGAGTTAATTTTATTCTCTCTTAAATCCATTAGTTTTGTTTGACTTTTGATAAGTTTTGGTTAAAAATTTTGACACAAATCTAATCCCATACAGACGAACCCTTTGTGTTTCTGTCTCTGTTCCTGAGGCTCCCTGAGGACTCTCCGCTCCCCCCCCGCCCCCTCCTCTGTTGGAGGACCCCCGTATTGTTGTACATATCGGACCGTACCAAGTGACACAGAGAGTGGGGGTGTACTGCTCAGTCCGGTTCAGCGTTTGTGGCGCTCCGTCTGTCTGCTGGTGTCCCTGACCATGCACCTGGAGCCCGAGGCCCGGACCGCAGCACGACCGTGTTCCGTTCGGAGACTACTATCAGAGGGGAAACCGAGCCGGACCGTCGCCGGGCAGGCGGACAGGACCGGAGGGAGAGCCTGAAGGCCGCTGCTGCTCTTTGTTTTTCTAACAGACAGAACAGCATCTCGACTGCGAACCGCGGAAACACCGACGTCCAGCGGAGCGACCCGCCTTTGTCTCCGTCTGAGTGTGAGCAGGTCCTGAGAAGATGTTCTGTCGAACCGCGGTGTTATTGCTGCCAGTCTGGTGCAGCATCATCAGCATCCTCTGCACCGCATCCCCAGCATCCCGTAAGTAGGCTAACACACACACACACACACACACACACACACACACACACACACACACACACACACACACACACACGCACACGCACTAGCAGTCGTGGCTAATGTGGAGCTGCTGCTGTCTGCAGTCCGGGTTTGGACCAGAACGCAGCCCGGAGCCAGCAGGCTGCAGGGCGGGGATCCATCAGCAGCTCGGTAGGACGGTGTGTGGAGGTGGAACAGGGCTGAGAGGCTGCTGGGTGATTCTGTGGTGTCTTCAGTTTGCTGAACTTCTAGAAAACACAACAGTCCTCATGATGAAAGCGGTCTGCAGCAGCACAGGAGCATGAAGCTGCCCCAGAATCCAGGAACCTTCACACCAAGCCGGCCTGGTTCTGTTCTACAGCAGTCACAGTAACATGGTGAGATGGGATCTCACAGGAACATTCTGCGTCTTTGAAGGCTTTTATTAATTGCTCATTGACATGCACGGCTCATGTACAGCTGCTTACACCCTCCTCAGCAGCAGCAGCTCTGTAGATGTGTTCAGCGTACACACATGTTTCTGTATTTCACATCTGTCATGTCAGAGCTGGCGTAGCTTAGATGCAGTTTCCTGAATGGACAGACGCTGGCAGGAAACACGTGATGCTTTTCTTGTTAACAGCCAAAAGTTTAAATGATTTACACCACCCTGGTCCCTGACACACCGACAGCACCGTCTCAGTGAGCTGCAGTCTTTAAGGAGGACTTTAGTCCCTGTGTGACAAACATAAAACAATGCTTGCATTAGTATCTACGCTGAAGCCAGTGTTAGTGGACTGGGCCGACATGGACCGGTCCCTAGCATCCTGTGGACAGTGCAGGTTTATCCTGCTCTTCTTTGTGCAGGGATCAGGGCTCAGCAGCCTTTTAACGTCCAGCCACAAACTGTGATATTGTCATGATCAGCTTTTATACATTTGCCAGCTTCAGTAGCTTCCTACAAGGTGATGAGGTGTGTTTTCTTAACGAATGAGTGGATTTCACACTACTGGTGCCTCTGGTGAGCGATGGTCTTTCCAGTTGGACATAGATGCTTCTTTCACTCCTCCCTCAAACCATCTGTCCTCCCTGCATGACAACATCTGTACAGATGAGCGTCCTGTGAGTGGAGGTCTGAGGCATCACTTCTCACCTGTTCACAGCTCAGTCCTCAGCTCTCTCCCCAGGAAGATGAAGCCACATCCACACCTAGCCACAAAGACCCTAATGAACTCCACTGTGGCAGGGGGAGCACTAACGACTCACATAACGAGGGGGAAGAGCAACAAACCCCCAATTAAAACCCAAACTCAGGTGTTTATGTCTCCTTCAGGATATCAGTATGTGGAACTACCAACTAGTCAGTCAGAGCTGATGAAGCCTCCTGGATGAAGGTGGAACGTCTTCAAGGAGCTCAAGCAGGTCCAGCTGCTACCATTAATCGACCAGAACAGAACAACCAGACATGCCACTCGGCTGCATGACACGGTACCTCTGGGTCTGGCTGCTGGTGACAGCAGGTGAAGCAGGTCGTTCCAGTCCCTCTTCCCAGCAATGCTTTTCAGTTCTTCCTAGAGACTCTCAAGGCATTCTTCAGCTAGCTGTGGTATCAGATCCTCCCAGCAAGTTTCTTTAGTCTGTCCCGGGGTCACCTTCCAGTTTATGTGGTTCTGCTCGATCCTGCTTCTGTCTAGTGCGAGCCTCTGCCGGGCGTCTCAGCTCCTCGTCACTCCCTCGAGTTCATGACCTACAACCACATAATGTTCACTGAACTGATCCAATTCATGAATACTGTTGAAGTCCAGGATCGGTTGTTAAATAACTACCGATAGCAGGATGCAATCAGTGTCCACGCAGCGGTGCTCCCAGTGTTCAGGACAGCAGCCCTCCCTGTGTTCATTCATCATCATCGGCGACCACTCAGTATGATTGTCCTCCCAACGGTGGTTCTGGTCACTTGTGGGACACCGATCCTCCATCCACAGACTCTGTTGCAGTGGTGGCATCTGTAGCTTGTTGTCCTGGTGGTGGTGGTTTGGGTTTGGAGAGCCGTTTGGTGGTGGATCTCTCCTTCCTCTGCTGCCTTTTTGCTTCTGTGGCACGGTGGAGGTCCGTTTCTAGCTGTGCTGTGTCCTCATGGACCATCTCTTGAGAGCAACCTCCTCCCAGTTACTGAGGTTGAAGCAGCACTTTCTGAGGTGGGTTTGGTGTTGTCTTTGTACGACTTATTTGGTCCCTCTTGGCTGCTTTCCTTCCTTAGCTGGCCGTACAACAGCTGTTTCAGAAGGCGCTCTGTGTTCATTACTCTACAAACTCGTCTTGTCTCACCAAGGCCCCCAGAAGCCAGTGCTTCCCTTCATCCTCTTTGTTTTCTCACTTGTATGATCATTCAACCTTTTAGAAATAACTTTTCAGTTAGAGTGGACAGGAAGACTTCTGTAGGGGCTCCGTTGTCTCGCTGGACCACCAGGTCCAGGTAGCTGCATAGTGTTCTGTTTCAGCTTCCCAACAGCTCAGGCTGGGAACTTCTCTTCCCACATCCCTGCTTCTGTGACACGGCCAAAAGTATTTATCACGACATCAATGGGAAGGCCTAACCCTAACGAAGTAACTGACGCCAGACAAAATACTTCAAAACTGCACAACTTTGTTCATGCAAATAAAAAAGAACAATTCCATTTCCACTTAGCAAGCAGCTTCTCTTCATGTGCATTAAAGCTGCTCCAGAGTCAGTAGTGCATAAGTTGTAAATGACTTGCTGACAATTTGTGTCATCAAACGTCATGTCAGATGGAAATGGGCTGACTGTCCACAGCAGTACAGTAGAGCTGCTTTACTTTAACCTGCATGTGATGTTTTGTTGAACGCTAACAGCACCATGTCCAGGAGTGATGACGAAGCTGTTCACATGATCACACAGTGAATAAATCAGCAGGATGAGCTGTTGGTACAATACAGGCTTATTTTGTAATGCATATGAGGAACCTCATTAGCATGTCCTGCACCTGCCGCACGCAAAGACACACACACACACACACACACACACACACACACACACACACACACACACACACACACTACACGCACGCACACACA